GGATTAAGACTTGTGCTTAAAGATGTGGCACCTAAATCTTCGCTCTAGTCATGTAGCTGGGGGAAAATAGATCTCATTACCATTTCTGAAGCATATGTGGCCAGCAGAGCTGTAATACATGAATTTGTGGATATCATTGTAAAGTAGTGTAGGCTGAATGCAGTCTAATTTAAAGCATCTGCATTTTAGAATCAACTGTTTAATTGTTTCTGGCTAATGAATGAAATGAGGGATAATATTGAATGGGAGGCTTATGAAGTGTAAATAGCCTGTTTTTCGGTAACAATTTCTTGAGGCCATGATCCGGGGGGGTGCCTAAACAAAAGTGACTGACCTGGCTAACACATAGGCAGGAATAGAGCAAAAAAACCAACAAAACCAGTAGAATTCTACAAGGAGGTATACTTTTTTTTAATAGGGCTCTTGTGTGAATTGCATGGTCCTGGTCAAATAGAGCACCAGCACCCTTAGTTGCTATGTAAACCCAGGTTGCAGCATTGATGCATCATGCATAATTCTGATGATATCCACAGATGTGGTAGTATACTGAAATTAATACCCTGGCTTGTGGAATTTGACCTCTCTTTAGCTCACCCTTTCTCTGAGTTTCCCCTGAACCGAAACAAAGTTCTGCAGAAGGATTTAATACAGAGTGCTATTTTAATCAAGTTTGTTACTTCTGTTATTTTCCACTCAGATCTTGACGCATAGGAGGTTTTTGGGATTTGTATTCACCATACCAACAGAATCTTTTATTTTTGAATACATTGATCTGAATTTTGGTTTTCAAAATGTTGTAAGGACTGTGATGGGAATAAACTAAGGAAGGAATGTATGAGTTGCAGGTTAACATGATTTCTCTGTACAGGGCATAAACTCTAGTCCACAGGGCCCTGCTCAAAGCTTCTCTTGATTTCTGAGCCTTCAGCAGATAATGCTTGTCCCATCTGTTCCACAAGAGAGTTAAAGTTCCCTTAAGTAAACAAAGTGTGCTAGGATTCAAATGGTAATCTGTAGAGTTGAAATTAACATCATGATATTGGAAACAAGGGAGCAGCACTGATAATGGAAGAACACAACTCAGTACCACCAAGATGCAATTATGCTTCAGTAATTTCTTGTGCATTTCAGAACTCTGCATTAGGGTCATTTATCCATCAGTCTAAAGTGACACAAAACTGCATATCTGTCCAATACACCCTGTGAAAAGGAACTGTATATTGTTACCAAATGTACTCAGGACAACGCATATAAACCTCCTTGTCTGGGTGAACAGGATTCAGGTCTAGGTTCAAACAGAGGGGAGTGAATACTGCATGCTCAAAGATTTGGGATCAAAAGAGTTGTTATGCCACAGCAGGCTTAGAATAATAGGTCAAAATGATCAGTGATAGTTTATTGAGGAGAACCTGAGTTACAGGTGCAGTCAGAGCAGTAGAGATGGGAAAATATTATCCATCCCTTTTCTGTTCGGGAATAATTTGGGTGGCTTAGTTTCATTGGTTTTCTGACTGGTACATTAGCTATGGCTTGAAGGGAGTTCTGAGGATGGGTGCTTGGCTTGGGCCAAGCAGGCAATCCTGCAGCTATTCCAGGTAATAAACTCAAAGGGAACGAATCTGCGCCTGATCAGTATTTGAGCTACTAGGGCACACAGGTAGGCGGCAAGCAGGCTTCCAGGCACATAACATATAAATGAGGAGAATATGTGTGTGAGTAGTGTACTGTTTGGCATTGGGAAGGGGATCAGTTATAAAGATCAAGCACAATAGAAAAAAGCATTGATTTTTGCAAGCTTTCTGTGAAGGTAGAAGTGCTGAGCTGGGCCCAACTTCTAAGAATGCTGCCATAGCAGCCTTCCTTGGTGAGCCAGTCATTGTCACAGGTTTCATCATCCAGAGTGGTTCCATTCTTGCCGCATGTCTGGTAGACCATTCTGGATCTGGCCACTTGCTAATCAGAATGTTAAGACAGTGATATCAATGAAATGGAGGCATGTCATTTTTAGCAACAATATTCATACATTACTTAAATTGTTGTACTATCACAGTAAGGTGTCTTTAGAAAATAGGAGGATAAGGCTTGGATCCAGTGGAGCAATTTCTGCAAAAGAGAGTGACATTTCAGTGATTTCCCCCTTCCTGCTGCAAACCTCGTGCTATTCTTGGGAGTCCCCTATCTGTTTCCATGAGTAGCATTTTGGGGGCTGCAACAAAATGGGGAAATTTCTGCTCTGTAGATATAAATCTAAATGCCATAATTGGTTGTAAATTTGTTATTTCTTTGACTTTTTTTTAGTGTGTGTCGGGAGTATTTTCATAATGGTGGGAAAAGGAAAGCTCTTGAAAAAGATGAGAAACGAGCAGTTCTTGCCGCACAAAGTACACAAACCATGACTCCAAAAAGAGAGAATTCTTCAGAACACTGCATAAACACAACTTCTTTAATGGATGAGTAAGTGTTTAATAGTAGTTAGTGGTTGTTTCCATTATTATTAGCATTGCAGCCAAGTTAACAGTGGGCATGATCTGTCCATAGCTGACCATTTTTAAGTCCCATTGATTGCAGTGCAAAACAGCGCATTGTAATCAATAGAACTTTTAAAGGCTTGGCTTACACTGACTTAACATTCACTCTTTTCCTCCAACAAACTATGCAGTTGTGTGATAGATGCTAAAGATCTCTAACTGAATTCATAATATGTTTATTAAAGTACATCTCCCAGAACTCATGTGGATAAACCCATGGCAACTAAATATTGTATTTTAGGTATTCCTTTTGTGTCACAGGTTGGGTGTGACATTGTGTGGGACTTGGAGGGTGTGGTCAGACAGTGTGCTGAGAGCGGATTAAACTGCTCCGGTTCTAACCGGGTTATATTTGATCTGGATAATCGCAATCACACTTACCTCCCTTATCCCGCCTCACCGCACAGTCATGTCACTCCCCGGTATCTACACTAATGACGCGCGGGAGCATGCGTTGGCAGGTTTTTAAAAAAATGTCCTCAGTTTGCGCATGCACATAGGCGCCCTTCCGTAGAAAGGGGGGAACTATCATGGCGCATGCGCAGAACCACCAGGGCGAATCAATCGAACCCCTCCAACAAAAGACTTCCATTTAAATGTTTGACCCGAAAATGGCCTCTGTGAGATCCCGAACTCATCTAAACACTAAAACAAGTGACCATTTAAATGTTGGTTTTCTAAAGGTGGTGGCGGAGCGCCGCCTATGTGCACACCTCCAACGCATTAAAAAATGGCAGGCGAAAAGTGGAAGCCTCGGGCAGCTTTCTAATGGGGAGGGGGTTTAAACCGGAAGTGGCTCAACACCACAGGAGCGATCAGACACCAGAAAAGTGCGGCTAGAACCAGAGAATCAGGAAAACATCACTTGGGGACCTGGTAGCAAAATACCGTATTTTCCTGCGTATAAGACTACTTTTTAACCCAGGGAAATCTTCTCAGAAGTGGGGGGTCGTCTTATACGCCGGTACGCCAGAAGCATCAGCACAGCTCTATATTTTAACTGGAAAACTCTATATTTTAACTGGAAAAGTTGGGGGTCGTCTTATACGCCCAGTCGTCTTATACGCCGGAAAATACGGTATTTTAACCTCATAATTGTGTGTACTAGACCTTCTGATTTTTGTTTTGCTTTCTTCTAGGCATATTGGGCATGTGGGCTGGGACCCAAATACAGGTTTTGATGTAAGTGTGATGGCAAGCCTCGCAGAACTTCGCATTGTAGTATGTGATACTCAACATTAAAATGCACAATGGTACTGCTGATGTTACATATGAGCTAAAATCTAATACTCTTAATATATTTTATCGTAATATGCTAATGCCCATTAAAGTAAGCCATAACTTGCAAAATAACATGGATTTAAACCGATAGTCCTATGTGAGTCATGTGATAAATTTATTTGAATGCTGTATTCTGAAATGACACTTCAGGATCCTTAAACTGAAGAGTGTGCTAAACAATCTGAATTTTTTTTAAAAAAATTGCCCTCTGAACTGTGTTGTCATCTTTAAAGTACAAGTGTATTAATGACATTGTTTTAAGCACAGAAATTATGGTGGGCCCACAAAACTTGAATCTGGTTAGCTTTTTTTTTTTTTTTAACGCTTGCCTAATTCTTCTCCTTCCTACAGTTTCCATCCCATCCCATGTAGCTTTTATGTATGTAGATCCCATTTTGGGGTTGTCAAAGGGGACCCATCCTTCCTTTTTCTCCAAGAGAAATGCTGGCTGGATCCAACCTGACATCTTTTTTTTTTTAACTGACAAAATAGCACACAAATCAACCAAAATTGATGTATGTTATACAACTGCAGTTAAAAATGTGTCATGCTTTGAGTAGAATTACAAATACCTGCTGTGTGCTTTTAAAAGGTGACTTCATAAACTGAATTTATTTCTGTTTAGACTGGTGCATCCTTCAGGGAAGATCAGATTACTTGATGTTGGCAGCTGTTTTAATCCATTTCTGAAGTTTGAAGAATTTTTGACTGTTGGCATTGACATTGTTCCCGCAGTTGAGGTATGAAGTATTGACACTGCAACTTATTCAAAAAAATCAGGGTTGTTTACAGTAGTTACTGAGGGGAAAAAATCATTAAATTGTAGCACTAACTATCATTTGGGTTGTATTAACAGTGTATATCACATGGGCAGAAGATCACCCTGTATTTTTACAGGAATGCAGTTGTATAGGAAACAGCAGAACCAATATTTCAGTTCTGTAATAATCTTGCCATTAATTTGAGTTTTTTTGCTACAGAAACAGTTAAGCATTGTAAGCCCTGCAGAAGAGACCAGAGCACATTAAGTTCTGTGAAACCAGTGGATTAAAGAAATGCTTAACTCTGGCTGAGCTGTGTCTTAAATCTCTTCTGACTAAAATACTGAAATGGTGAACTTTTACTTTCTGAATGGCTACAATTCAGTATTTGAAGGTACCTGCCATAATTCTTTTTTATTTTTACAAGCCTGTATTGGTAAGCCTTTTAGTGTTGCGTGATCAGTATAATAAGGCTTGAATATTCACTTCTGAGCATATCAAACCTACTCTTTTTCTCCTTTGTTTTTGTTTTTTTGAAGAATGAACTTAAATTTCACAGTTCAGTGATCTCATGTGAAACAGCTACAGTGCCCATGGGTTTGTCACTTTATGCTTCAAATTGATAGCTTTTCTGTACCCAGCTTGTATCCTAACAACACATAATCATATAGCTATCTCTGTGCTTCTTCCTCCAGAGTGTCTACAAATGTGACTTCTTAAACCTTCAGATTCAACAGCCTCTTCAGCTTGCGCAAGATGCCATAGATGCTTTTTTGAAGCAACTGAAAAATCCTATCGATTCTCTGCCTGGGGAATTATTCCATGTTGTTGTCTTCTCCCTCCTCCTTTCTTACTTCCCATCACCTTATCAACGATGGATATGTTGCAAAAAGGCCCATGAACTTCTTGGATTGAATGGATTGCTGCTTATTATCACGCCTGACTCTGCCCATCAAAATCGCCATGCTATGATGATGAAAAGTTGGAAAATCGCAATAGAATCCCTAGGCTTTAAACGTTTCAAGTATTCAAAGTTTTCTCATATGCATCTCATGGCATTTAGAAAGATCTCACTTAAAACTACTAGTGACTTGGTGAGCAGGAACTACCCCGGGATGCTATACATCCCCCAGGACTTCAACAGTATAGAGGAAGAGGAATTTTCTAACTATTCTTGCTATGTCCGGTCCGATGCTGAAGATGAACAACTGGCATGCAGCTTCATGGAACTTCCAGACGCTCCTTATGATTCAGACTCTGGGGACAGCCAGGCCAGCTCAATCCCCTTCTATGAGCTAGAAGATCCAATTTTACTTTTAAGTTAATTATGTAACAATTAAAAATCTGCTTCAAAGTCCAAACTCCCTTTACTATGAAACTAAATTTGCCATGCTGACATCTGCTCCCACACGGAAAAGGAAATGCAGGAGGTTTTCAGAACTTGCTATTTTTTCTACTTAGAAATTTTTACATTTATTCTTGTATTGAGAATTTGAAGTGTGTGTGTGTTACGCAGAATGGTTTTGTGTCACAGCATAAACAGGGTTTACTCTATTGTTTGTATCACTGATAGATACAGGTTTTTTTCCTTCCAATGCTGTGATCTTGTGAAATATGCTGCCTTGATATCTTATATCTGTTGATAAAGGTTGAGGTTCATTCTAGCCTTTTCAGAAGGCTATGTAGAAAGAGCTAATAGGCACTGTTAATGAATGTCAAAGGAAAACGTTTGGAAAGCTTGTCTGGCTGAAGTTAACTGTGATCTGGTAAAACAAAAATCTGCAAAGTAGTTCTCCTTAAATTATTTTCATTTGGATTGGAGACAATCCTTTTTCCCTTGTTGTTCTTTGAATGACACAGAAAACACAATGGGTGGGCTTAAATAGTTTTGGTAAACTTCAGAGCTAGAATATATTTGCCACTTTATGTTTGCAGTGACATCACTGTCCACTCTGGTTTTTTAAACTATCTTGTATTGTTGCAAAATATTCTGCCCAAAATACTTACATTGGGAGTCTCAAGTTATGTGAAATCTGCACATTACTTGAGTCCTAATCCTGTGAACACTTACTTATGAATGAAGAATCAAAAGTAGTCCAATGTGTGAAAGATTAACCATCCAATCTGCATTATATTTCCTACACATGCTCTGAAGTTTGGATGCTAAGGAATTAATTTGTTTGGCACTAATTCCTTAAAAATTAACAAAGTTGTTTTAATGATGCACTGCATTTTAATTACACCCTACACTTGAATGCATATAATTAAGGTCTGACTATGCGTTTAGACCAATGACTGAAAGAGAAATTAGTTTCACATTATCCAGATGCTGATGCAGAGTCAACTGCCATTTCAGAAGTGCCACTACAGACCTTGTAAGGTTTTTTTCTAAAAAAAAAAAATTATGCTCCCACCAAAATTTTGCACTGAAGTTTCACAACTGATTTCTTAGTTTGCTTTTTCCATATTGTGTTCTTAGTTTTATACACAATTTCATATATTATAGTGTCACTTTATATTTAAGAATGGGTTTTGTACCTCTTGCATGTTATGGACTTTTTAAATATCCCCCGAATGACTAAACTTGATTACTGGCTTTTAGCTATTAATACAGTTACACTTGAAAACAAATCATAACTGAAACATTTCTGTCATTCTAACAAGGCCATATATCTTCCAACACAATAAGCATCCTGTGTTAGGTAAGTGCAGTCCAATGCAGAGAAACTCTGCATAAGATTGTACTCACAATCTACGTATTGTGTTCCCTTTTGGTCCATTCTGCTACCATTTCCTGCATGCATAGTTGTTCACAGGCACTAAATTTAAGGGCTACAGGACAGCACCTGAAGTATTAGGTAACAGCTGTTGGAAATAGCCTTGGTAGGCAGATATGAGAACCTTTTAATGCAACACTCTTGTTTGCGGCAATTATTCTTATACAGACAGAGCTGCTGGTACTGAGGTTCTCATGCTGGCTTCCAGTGCAATAGGGTAGTGGGAGTCTAGTTCCAGTAGTGGTACCATCTTATCCCATAGTTGGTTACTATACATTACAAGGTAAAAGGCTTTCAGTCTTCCATAAAGAAACTCACTGAAATGTATTTTATTTAGCTATCTCTTGTTTAAATGAAATATTGCAGTCATAGGTGTCAGCAAATGATAGCCCTCTGAGGAGTACCGTCTTTGCCATCTCACCGTTACCAACTCCATAGGCAAGAGGATGGTGAATGAGCTTTCACTCCTGAAAACAGGGCAATAGTGGGCAATTTTGAATGGCCAGGTTTGGCTCTTTGACCCATCATGTCCAATATGTTATCAATTGAACCTCCAACAACAAAAACTAGTTGCTGACCAGGGTAAACAGATTAATGTAAAGACTTTTTAAACTAAAAGGTTTCATTTTTAATGCTGGAGTAATTAAAGCTAATGTGTTGTGCTACCTCTTTCATTTAAAAAAATACTGTTTACTTATTCTCCAAAATGTGCATGATGTGCTTTTATTAATATTAGAAAAAAGTTGCCAAGATTCCCTAGCATGGATGCATTTTATTATGTGTGCACTAATGTCATTTGTTTTCTTGTCCATTCAAATTAGCGTATACTCGAATCCAGGTCATGGTTATATGTAGATGAAATAGTTTAAAATCTGAATAGTAGAAATCTGCCAGTAATATCACCAGTGGCTTGGTGAAAGTGGAAAGTGTTGTGGGTCCTTCACTAGGGGAGCAGCTTCTTTCTTTCTGTTTTCAAATGCAGAGTCCTCTTTCAGAGTGATTCCCCAATAACAATATGTATGGGCATGGTTACTTAACTTAAGGGAGTTCCTGCTATGCTTTGTTGGATTTTTTTACTTGATCTTGCTTGAAGTGCAGTTTTCAGGATGGCTGATTAGGTCTGGAAGGCTTCTCAAGCTTGACATTGTACAAAGGAAGATGTACCCGGTTCCATACAAGGAAGAAAGCATACTACCAACCTTTGCATTTGTTTTTTCTTTTGTTTTACTAAGGGGTTTTTTTTGTGTGAAAGTGCATTAAAAAGTACAAACAGCTTTGAGTGTGTTAGTGATGTGGAGTGTATTTTATCTTGTGGTGCTACATAGTCTTGCAAAAAGATACAGTGTGTACAGAGTTATACCATTCCTAAAGCAGTTTTCCTGTGTGATGGATGGTCACTCCAGGTTTATATGCAACTTTTTAGATATGCTTCAGTTTCCATTTTACTTATGGTTGTATGCTTCTTCAGCCCAACAGGACCTTGCTTGGCTCTTTCTGTTTTTGAAGGGTTTATTTCAAGGCAGGTGCTTTATAATATGTTAATTGTCCCTCCGTTGTGCAATTATAGGAAAATATTTGCTCCTGTTCAAGATAATTTGATAAAGAATAAAATGCATCTTTAAACCATTCTTCTGTAGGCTAAGGAGGAGGTTTAAGTTATACACACAGTAAGGAATGCTTAGTTCTGAGTTGTGATGGTCTGTTCATAAAATAAGTCTGTATCCTAGATCAGTGTTCTTGGAAATATTTCCAGTACTCCCTGTATGAACAGATTTCATATAAGCAGGAACTATTTGTAAGGGGTAGTTCTTTGTACTGTGAGGAGAGATGCTATGCTACTAGAATCCTGACTACAGAACAATTCACACAACTAATTTCGCATCATAAATGAGAATGTGCATTCTTAACTGAATTCAGATGGAATCCATTTTTGTGAATAGCTGACAACTGAGAAGTCTCTTCTTATGTTCTTAACTAAAGCATGGTGCCAGTAAATTACTTTAGGCATGTTTACTGCAAATCTTATAATTGGCAGGGTTATAATGGTGTAACCTCAGTCACAAAGACTGTGTGTGTATAGGGAGAGAGCTACTGGCCTCCTTCCCATCCCCCTTGTCCCTGCTTAACAATTATGTAAATCAACTATGCCTCTTAAGTCCTCTAAAATAGACCCCTGCTGGATCAGACCAATGGGCCATCTAGTCCAGCATCCTGTCTCAGTGGCCAACCTGTTATTCTGGAGGGTCAACAACAGAGCATACAGACAGAGACTTTGCCCTGATGTTACATCCTGACTCTGGGATTCAGAGGTTTAGTGCCTCTCCTGGAGGTTCCCCTGTCACTATGGCTAGTAGCCTTGCTAGATTTACAATCCATGAATTTAATCCCCCTTTAAAGTTGTTTATTCCTGTGGTCATCACTACATTTGCTGGCAGTGAATTCGACATTTTAATCAGTCTCTTAAAGAGTGGCAGCTGTACAGGGAATAGGAGAAACGGGCAAGTACAGTAACTTTGATCATATGTGTGAGCATCTATTTCCTTCAGTTGTCACTTCTTCCCAGTACCCCAATGCATTGCTTTTGGGGGAAGTTCCAATCTCAGACTCCTCAGTAGAAGCCTTTAAGAAGAAAACTTTGCTCTCCTCAGCTAGAAAAAACTCGATGAATGCTGGAGAAGCTCTAACGTCCGGAGAAACTAAAATTGAAAACTTTTTTAAAATTAAAAAACAAACAAACCTCACTCTGCCTACTTAGGAAACTACATTGCTCGAAGTCTTTAATAGCTTTAATTCCTGGAAAAGCCAAAGATGGCCGCACTAATTGTTTTCCTTTGTTGGAAAGGACCTCTGTGCGTTCTCAGAGGTTGCTGACGCTTAAGGGTTACAATGTCATGAAATGCCACAGAACGCAGTCCTGTTCCGCCCTCAACACGTTGCTGCCCTCCCAGACGGGAACTCTACGCGCTCGGAGTCACTGAGGGGCAGAATGTTCCCTTCAGTTTGGAGTGTTGAAAGTCGCAAAACCACCGCCAGCCTTAGAGAGCAGCTGCGGCGTAGCGCATCCTATTCGACCCGTGCAAGGGGCTAGGCAGGCGAACTCTTAAAAGCAGCCTTTCTGGCCAGACTCCCAGCTTTCCCGTGTGCTTTCTGGGACCGGAGGCCGCTTCTGCCTTCCCGCTCCAGGGAATTTCGCTTTCCACGAGGAATGGAAAGTGCGTCTGCAAAACAGGAGACCGACGGAGCCTCCTTTCGGAGAGGACTGCCGAGCCCAGCCGAGCTGGGAAGTGAGAGCTTCTCCCGCGCCAGGCCGTCGACGCCCTGAGGCCAGCTAAGCTGCGCGGTTTGAGCCCTCCCGCTCCCCGTATCGGGCCCGAGTGAGAAGGAAGGGCTAAAATGGCGAAGCGGGCGGGGAACTTTTTTTTTTTTTTACAGCGAACAGCGCACGGTGAGTTTGGCAGCCGCCCAGCACAGCACAGACCTTAGTGGTAGGCTGGTAGCAAAACAGGCGATGGGGAAGAAGTAGGAAACTTCGTTAAGAGACAAGCTGCGGCTTCTTCCATCTTCGGCTTTCGTTAGAACTCCCTGGTGGGGAGATGTAGGACCCTAACCCGGGATGCCAGTTTCTGTATCCCCCGCCCTTCCCCTGTCGCCTTGAGAGAGAAGAGCTGCTACATGTTTTTGAATCCTTTCCTTTTAATATGGGGAGGGGAGTGGACCGCCCCGTCTGCTTCCTTCTCCCCCCCCCCAATGATCTTACTGCTCATGCGCCAACTCTGAAAGGGCCTGAACTTAACGGTAACTCTTGAGAAAGTGACGGGGCGGGGGGAGAGGAATCGACTCTCTTCTGAGCCCGCCTCACGCTGTCTCTTTGACACGAGACGACCGTCATAGTCGGATGTGGGCTTCCTTTTAAGCAGGATGGTGATTCCCTTTTGCCTGTTCCTTGCCTTTTTACTTTCTTCTGTTTTGAGGCAGTGCCATTAGATCTTCTCATTTGGCTCTCAGTGTCTTGAGTGTTTGCTTGTGGAGAGCAGCAGCAGAAGTCACTCCAAAACCAGCTCGTCTTCACACATTGTTTTTCAAATGTAAGTTCATATTTCTTCAGGCAACAGGAACGCCCCCCCCCCCCAACTTGGGGTGACCTCCTACAGCACCTTTTCAAGGACTCCATCAGAGCTGCTGTTTCAGATCGTTCGAGTGATCTGGGAAGTACTGTTCGTTTGAAGCAAAAATAGTTTCAACAGGGCTTTGTTGATGGTCTTAAATGGCCACAGACTGATGTGACAGATGTGTAGTGCAAAGCTGCTCTAGTCTAAACTCACTGAAATCAACAGGCTTTTGAAGTAGGATTGCACTGTTGAAGATGCTCAAAAGCAAACTTAGGAGGTTTGACTCAGTGGTAGGGCATAAGTTTTGTATGCAGGAGGCCAGGGTTCAATACCTGGCATCTCTGTTGAAAAGGATCAGGTAGCAGGTGATGTGAAAGACCTACCTGAGACCCTAGAGAGACCCTGCCTCTCAGAGTAGACAGTGCTGACCTTAGTAAACCAATGGTCTTATTCATTGATCTGAACAGCCCTAGTGGTGCTGGCCACTGTGCAGGGACTGCTTGGCTCTGACCTATCCTGCCAGTGCCACTGGAACTTAGCTCGCTGTAGTTGCCGACATCGTCCAGAACAGTGACCCACCAGGATCTTTCCTGGAAAGCTAAAGAGCTAGCCTGCCTCTGTGAATCAGTGAATCAGCACAGTGAATACACTATGCAGTGCTCTTAGTGGCTTTATAGTAATTATGTTAGTAATTACCAAAGATGAAACTTCATCTCTGCAAAGAAATAATTAAATATATATATTTCTCCAGTTTTCAGTCTTAGGTGTATTTAAAAACAGACCGCATGCTCTCAGCACCTTGATTCCTGGACTGACGCGCTGTAAGGGGCTCGCCATTCTGTAGTTTAGCCGGAAGAGACTGCTTAAGTCTGGTTATCCTGGTTGTATTAGTAGCTAGCCATTTTGTGGAAGAGGGAAGGCATAGGCATACCAACTGTTTGCTTCTGGCTGGCAGTCTCCCACCAATAAGCCCACCCAATCATCCTCACATTGTGTGCTGGGGGGGCAGAAATGTGTGCTAGCATCATGTTCCGGAAAAAAACTAGGGTTTTGCCAGGACTTGATGTTGGTACGTAACTCAGTTTATTGGCCTTGCTTCAACATTTTATATTGCATATTGTTAGCTACCATAAGACGTTTGTTTGTTCTTAAAGATAAAAGTGAGATATAAATAATTTTTATGATTTTATAATATCTACTTCCTGTGGAACTCCTTAAAAACCAAAGAATTAATTGACAAGGCTGCAGAGATAACTTTCTGTTGCATTTTTCAGGTAATGTTATCTAGTGATTCTTCTATTATCTGTTACCCTCATAGAGTTCTCTTTGCGAAAGAGAGAGAGATCCTAAAACACAGCTTGGTTGAGAGCCATTTATTTTTTCAAATGCTTCTAAAATGGAAATACAAGTGGAAGGATGAGAACTGGAGATGCATAGAAACAAATAGAGTTCAGTAGGGTTCCAGAAGTATTTTACCACATGAGAACATCTCTTCATTATAAACTCAAAACTGAAAAGAATATTAATATAATTTAATAAACTTGGTAGCAATTGGAAAGCCAGATCCAAAGGTACTGTTTTGTTTTGATCTGCAATTTTCTGGAAATTTTATTTGGAGTGGCTGGCGTGCTGTTGCCACTAACCACTGCCACCATGAATAGCTTCATTAAGGCCAGATTGGTTTCCATGAAATTTCATATTTTTGAAAATTTAAAATATTACTTTTTGTAGGATATAAAGAAAATTGCCCTGCCCTGGATAGCCCTGGCTAGCCTAGTCTCATCAGATCTTGGAAGCTAAGCGGGATTGGTCCTAGTCAGTACTTGGATGGTAGAACACCAAGAACTTCTGGGGTTGCAACACAGAGGCAGGCAATGGCAAGGCACCTCTTGAACATCTCTTGCCTTGAAAACCCCACTGGTTTGCCATAAGTCATCTGCAACTTGATAGCAAAAAAAGTCAAATAAAATAAGGAAAATTAAGTTCATAATTAGTCATCTTCTAAAAAAACCTTTGTAGTATCCACTGTCACCATAAATTATTGAAAATTAATATAAATGATCTCACTATAAAAAGACCTTTATATCAATGTTTAGCATTATATTAATGCATGTTTATTGTATCTGTTAATTGATTTAAAAATTCTAATTTTAAGTTGTGTTTGTTCTTCCAGAACTTCAGTAATCCTTGGCTGTTAATGATGAAACAACTCTGCACAAAGTTACTTTTGCATCACAGTTCTTAGATGAAACCCAAGCACTTGCGTTGTATATATATATATAAAAAAATTGTGGAGTGATACGGTCTTGACTAGTCAGCTTACATGTGTAAATCAGTACGTTACTGCGTTAGCCACTGCCTCTACGCAGCAATGACAAGACTGGAAGAAGCAAACCGAGAAGTGAGCATGCATTCTTCTGTCCGGTATTTGGGCTATTTAGCCCGAATGAATTTACTGGTCGCAATATGCATGGGCCTTTATGTCAGATGGGAGAAGAATGCAGACGCATTAATACTCGTGATTTTTATCCTGGCTCTTTTTGTTCTTGGAATTGCCAGTATACTTTATTACTATTTTTCCATGGAAACAGCGAGTTTAAGTCTTTCTAATCTTTGGTTTGGATTTTTACTTGGCCTTCTCTGTTTTCTTGATAATGATGCTTTTAAAAAGGATGTGAAAGAAGAAGCAACCCAATACTTGCTCCTTTCCTCAATCATTATAAGGGTATTGCATGCTTTAGTGCAGAGGATATGTGGCTGTATCCATCATCGACCCACTCTGCTAACGACTGTTGAGTTCCTGGAACTGGTTGGATTTGCAATTGCCAGCACAACTATGCTGGTACAAAAATCCATGAGTATTATTTTGTTGGTTGTGGCTTTAGCAATGCTCATTATTGATTTGCGGATGAAGTCTTTCCTTGCCATTCCAAATTTGGCAATCTTCGGCATCCTGGCCTCGGTATTGTTTTTTCCTTCCCTAGCAATACCCACAAATCCATTTGCCTTGGGATGCTTTTTTAGCTGTCTGATCACAGACCCTCTTCTTGACGTGTACTTCAGTGGACTTTCAGTTACAGAACGTTGGAAACCCTATTTGTTTCGTGGAAGAGCCTGTCGAAGATTTTCAGTCATCTTTGTTGGACTTATTGAACTTATTTCTTTCATACTATCAGCCTTCAAGCTTGGTGATTTGGATCTTTGGTATTTTGTGATACCGGGATTTTCTATTTTTGGAATTTTCTGGATGGTCTGCCATATCATTTTTCTTATAACTCTTTGGGGATTTCATACAAAATTGAATGAATGTCATAAAATCTACTATACGCACAGGGCGGAGAACAACAGCCTTGATAGAGTCATGGCATCTAAAGGAATGCGTCATTTTTGTTTAATTTCTGAGCAACTTGTATTTTTCAGCCTTCTTGCAACAGCAATTCTGGGTGCTGTATGTTGGCAGGTATGCTATAAATTATTTAATCTTTTGTTGCTCTTGGGACATTAAGTATTACAGTGTATAGCATGCAGCAGGTCAGTATATCAGAGGCTTATGACAGGGCTCTGGCTGCATCAAACTGAAATTATTCTCCTTGGAGACCTTGTTCTGCCCTGTGTGGCCTATCTCAACCACATAATATTGGCAGTTTATTATAATTGCAGAGAAGGAATCCGGCAGTGTGAACTCAGACTGAAGGCAACATTTTAAACAATCTGTATTTTAGCTTGGAAACTAGCTGCATTACCATAACGTACGTGCATACTGTAGTAGGCTATGGCACCATTTTCTAGATGACAGGAATATATTGCAGAATGCCTTGTGGTAGGTGTGGGTGAATGGAATGGTGGCTTTTTATGACAGTGTGCTTTCAATTTGATACAACACATCTCTGCATTCTACTCTGCAGATACATTGTAGTCCCTGTCTGTGTGATCCCTGTCATTAGACACTGGACATGCTGCTTTCAGGGGCATTGGGTGGGCTTGCAGCGTTGTCCTTTATTTTCTCTATAGGAAAAATGTCAATTTTTTGGTTGGACATTAAACTGTCCTTTGTCCTGTCTTAACTATGGGCTTTTCCACATGGTTTTTTCCCGTCAGTTCTGGCCCTATACTACTTTGGTTTACCACCTGATTTCCATATGCATTTTTGTGCTTTTAGTTTTTGCTTCTTTTGCTGTTTTTTGTTTTTCTAGTCCTTTTGAGACAACTTTTACCTCTGTCTTTTTCTGGAAGCTGCTTTTAAATCATCAGTCTCTTTGTGCATAATGTTTCTCTTGGTTTTCTTTGTCCTTTCCACTCCCACCTACCTCCAGCCCACTTTTGATGATTGGACTGTCATCATCATCAAACCACTCCCTCTCCTCCCCCTGCCCTGAAGACAGTGATTTTGTTTGAGATTGCTTTCTTGAAAAAATACAGCCCATGTATCGATATATTGATATAAGTGCACACCCAAAAAAGTTTAAGTTTAGCAGGTTCTCTGAGTCCTCAGCTTTCATTTAAAAAGAGAAAAAGTAAGTCTCTATCCTTTTCCCTTGCAGAGATATACTTTTGCCCGCCCACCCCTAGAATGAAACACCACACAAGTTATGGGTTAAACTGGGAATTTTGTTTATACATAAGCTGATCTGCACCATCTCGTTAATAGAATAAAGCACGGGTTGCACTGTGCTTGCACAGCAAGCCTCCTAACAGGGCAAACCCACCCCAGATCAGAGCCAGGTCCAGGATTCTTCTGTACCTTACTCATCATTGCCCACACACCAGTGTGTAGAGGGGAGGGAGAGCTGGACTGAGTAAGGAGGGCAGCCTCCGCCAGACCTGGCGGGAGCCAGCCCATAATTGGCCAACGCTCCTGTGCTGAGCCCCTGTTGGCTTGCCCCACCCTCCTGTTTCCTTCAAGAAGATGGGGGGCAGGCAAACACCAGCACCTGCTCCATGGGCAAGCACTGGTCTTTTCCTTATATCTCTGTGAGGGAAGGGGCTACGGCCTTTTTTTTTTTTTAATGAAAGCTGGGGATTCAGAGAACCTGCCAAACCTGTCATTACAATGGTATGTTGATACATGCAGCTATGATACTGTTATACCAACATAAAAATGCACAAGAACTAGAGGTGGTGTGTGTTGTGATGCCATTGATGACAATGACATCCTCCTTTGAAAATCCTGACTATTTAAGGCATGTTACAGAAAAAAAATAAATTGATGCCAGTGCTTCAGGAGTAAGTTGACCATGCGGAAAAGCCCTATGCCTTAGATCACAGGATAAGCTCAGCCGAGAATTGAGCTTGTCCCTATTTACTTGTCCCTGCTCCAGGTTCTATTTCTTGGTGACCCTATGTAAACTTACAGACATACTGGAAACACCAAAAAGAAACAAATAAAACTCACATATACCTGTTAAGATATTTGCTTATTTAAAGGGGAAACTTTCTGCCTAATCACCAGAAATTGTGCTTATTACAGTTGAACAACAACAAAAAAAGCCTTATAAATTTATCTTAATCTCTATGCATGGTGATCCTTTGCATACTTCTATAAAAATAAACTGGTTACAGCATTGGAGCAGGATGAAGAATTCACGACCACATTCAGAACCAGAGTTGGTGAACACCACACATTTCAGATTATGATTAAACCAATAGTGAATTTAGTTATTGGCTTGTTTTCATCAGGTTGTGGAATCCAGTCTGATTTGCATAGTTGTACATGTGCCTTGGTTTTCTGTACAACATTAGACTGAATCACATCTGTCCAAGATGACTGAGGAAAAATTCTGAAGTAGGAATTTTCATTTAAAAATGCAGACTGGTATTGTCTAAATGCATCTTTTTTTCCCCTAGAAATCCAATGGAATCTTCATGAGTGTGTTTCTGATTGTCTTACCTCTTGAATCCATGGCTCATGGGTTATTTCATGAACTGGGAAACTGTTTGGGAGGAACATGTGTAGGGTATGCAGTCGTGATTCCTACCAATTTCTGCAGGTATGTTATTGATGAACACTTTACAGATAATATAGATGTTATGAAGATTGTTGGAACAGTCCTTGTACCAATAATTTTTTTTTACAAAACAAGTGCTAATTTCTTTTTTTCTTTTTCTTTTTTTAAAATAGTTTATTTTCATTTTTCCATAAAGTACACACATACACGTCTTATTTCAGTACATTGTTAACATTGGGGTTAAAAATTAAATATTTTTCTCGTACCATTTTATGGCCTTATACCATTTCTGGTTAAATTTATCTTCTAGTTTACCAGCCAGAAACATGTTGAGTTTATCCATTTCTATTACCTCAAATAGTTTATATATTAATTCATCCCTTTTTGGTATCCTGTCTGATTTCCAGTTTCTAGCAATACAGATTCTTGCCATTGTGTTTAAGTATACAATAATACATGATTCGTTATACTTAATGTCGTTGGGTATAATATTTAACAAAAAGATTTCTGGTCTAAAGGGTAAATCGATTTCTGTTATGTCTTTTATCAATTGTTTTGTACATTTCCAAAATCTTTGTATATTCTGACATCTCCACCAGATGTGGAAATAAGTCCCGATATTATTCTTGCATCTCCAGCAATTCCCTGAGACATTTACATAGCATTTTTGTAATCTATCTGGCGTCCAATGCCACCTATATATCATTTTTAGTATATTTTCTTTGTACAGTGTTGCTCTTATTAGTTTAATTGAATTCCAGGATTTTTTCCATTCTTCCCTCTTTATCTTACGGCCCAAGTCCTTTTCCCATTTAATCATTGCGGGCTTTTCCCATGCATCTTTTAACTCCTCTTCTAGTAGTAGATTATATATTTTGCCTATTTGTTTGTCTGCCTCTCGCAGCCAAATTTTATCTAGTTGTGTTTCGTTAACGTAGAAACCTTGTTTTTTGTCTTTGGTGAATCTCGAGATTAGTTGATTTCTTTCCCATATTGACAGATTTATCTGCATATCTTGTAGGGTTTCCCAGGGCTTAAGTTCATTTTGCTCATTTAGTAAGGTCTTATATGTTATATTTTTCTCTTCAGTCATTAGCGACGGTATTACAAAGGCCTCAATGGGTGATATCCACTTTGGTATTTTTTCATAAGTTTTTCCTCTTATCTGGCTCCAAATTTGCATTAGGGGTCCTCTTATTACATGGTTAGAGAAGCTTTTCTGTTTATTTTCCTTGTCATACCACACATAGGCATGCCAGCCCATGTGTAGGTCATGACCTTCTAGTTTTAACAATCTTTTATCTTCTAACAATGCCCATTCTTTTATCCACCCTAATGCAGCGGCTTGATAGTAGAGATTCCAATCCGGAAGGCTCATTCCTCCTCTCGTTTTCTTTTCACTTAGGAATTTATGCTTTATTCTTGCTTTTTTCCCTTGCCAGATAAATATTCTTGTTAACTTATTCAGTTCTTCAATAAATTTCTTATTTTTAAGGATTGGAATACATTGAACTAGAAAGATTATACGTGGTAGTATATTCATCTTGATCGTGGATATTCTACCCATAAGTGATATTTGGAACTCCTGCCATCTTTGTAAATCTTTTTTAATTTCCTCGAGTGTGACTTTATAGTTATTTTCATATAGATGGGCGTTATTATTTGTAATGTTGATGCCCAAGTGCTAATTTCTTAACCAGGTTTATATAAGCTTTCTCTTTCCCCTCTCCCCTTAACAAGATACTTAAATGTTAGTGGTTACTGCATGAGTAGTGGACGTGTAATTGCTTTACATTTAAATTGACTCTGTGGCAGCACACCAGAATTATTCTGACTATACTGAAATAAGGTTGCCAACAGGCCTGGAGAAAAATGTCCTGTCCATTTAATAGATGCTTAATGTGTCGAAATGGGCAGGTGAAGCTTTTCCTGGCATGGAAGTAAATAACATCACCTGGTAAATAACAACCCATTAAGCTTTGATTAAAGGCAGTTGGCAACTCTGTACTGAAACCTGTCTCTGGGATTGTTAGGCTTAAACAGAGCATGCTAAATTTTTGACAGCTTTGTGTTCAGTGATGGAATCCTACTTAATAACTATTGGAATTGTTATGTTAACTTCAAAGAGGGTACTCTCAGCAGTGGCAAAAGATTTCAGTATTAGAGAGAGAAAATAGGCAAACTCTTTCAGCTGGCCTCTGTTCTAACATGTTTTATCAGGTTGATCTTAATGTATTTTCCCATGCCTTTAATTTCCCTGTGGCGGGAGGGATGGGATGATTGCTTTTGTTCATGGTAATTTTTACCTGACCTACTATTTGTACATCCAGCTCAGAGTTCTTAAAAGAACAAGAATAGCTTCTTAAGACTCAGGGCAAATGATATGAAAAATAAGTATGTCCTATGAGTTGAAACTTGCATTCTGTTGCATTCCCTTACAGCAAAATAATCTGCTTTAAAAGAACTTTGTGCATACAATGTAATGGACTGTCGATTTGAGTGCAGCAGGCTTTATTATGAACTGCAGTAAAAGAACTGATTGTCATCAGTATTTCAACAAGCTCTTTCAAACTTCTGTTATAGTAAACATATTTTTCCTTTAAGACCAACAAAGTTTTATTCAAGGTATGAGCTTTCATGTGCAAGGCACACTTTTTCAAATACTCTGGAATGATAGATGAGGTTCTAAACTTATAGACAGGGATTTAACAGCAAATTAACATGTAACATGATGATGTTTAAGTTATGCAAAGTGAAAAACTAAATAACAAGTTAAGGTTATAAGGTCAACAGTTGTAAAGCAATAAATATGTTAAAATAGCAGATAAATGTCTAAAGGTGTTTTTTTTCTAATTGTGAGAAGTAACAGAATCTTAATTATCTCCTCTCAGGCGTAGAGGGCGTGTGGAGGGCACAACAGTATATTTTGAGCTGGCTGTAATGTTGTCAGCAGACATCCATTCAGTATTCTAATATACTGTTCTGAAAAAGAAATACACTAAAATATAGAGGATTCATAGTCCTTTTTGTTGAGAATACATATGTGAGGACTGAATGAGTTAGCATATGTAATGGGATAAAAATCCAATATCCCTGTTGAGTTCTGGGGAGGTTTTTGTTCCAAGTGCTGTAATTGGTTGTAATTCAGCAGTTTCTCTTTCCATTCTGTTTCTGAAGTTCCTTTGTAATAAAACAGCTCCTTTGAGGTCACCCATTGAGGTCACCCATTGAATGTCCTGGAAGGTTGAAGTGTTCTCCTACAGGTTTCTCAGTCTTGTGATTCCTGATGTCAGATTTGTGTCCATTTATCCTCTGGTTCAGGGTTTGTCCTGTGTAGAGAACTAAAGGGCATTGTTGACATTTAATGGCATATACAATGTTAGAAGATGAGCAAGTGAATGAGCCCCCCTGATGGTGTAGTTAATGTTGTTTTTCATTTTGCATAACTTAAACATCATCATGTTACATGTTAATTTGCTGTTAAATCCCTGTCTATAAGTTTAGAACCTCATCTACCATTCCAATGTATCTGAACTGTCTTAAAGGTGCCACTGGACTCTAAATTTGTTCTACTGCTTCAGACCAACACGGCTGACCATCTGGATCTATATTTTCCCTTGTATTTCTTCTGAGTCCAGTACTGTTAACTATTCTATTTATGCATCTTTGTTTCTTCACTGAAGAATGAACTTAAAGTTTTCAAGCTGGCACATACAAGGTCTCATACACTTAAATTAGTCTTGTGCGCTAGAAACCCCATGTCTTTTTTGGAGGGTGGGTGAGCATGGAGGCAAGAAGCACAGATGCAGGTTCAAAATTTTAGAGCCTGGGGATGAATGATCACTCCTTGAACTTCTGTGTAGAAGGCTGTGTCTAATAGCCAGTGGAGAGGAATGTGTTGTTCTAGTCTATAGAATAAGGTCTCTGAAGTACCCCTAATGAACTCATAAACAGACACACCTGCAACTGGGCAGCACCTCAGCAGTCATGGACTTCTATAATTTAACACTTACATGTAGAATAACTTCTAGCCTAGTCTTCTCCCTAATAGTTCTCTGTGGATAGGAATGAGAACCCTATGGATGAACAGAAGGCACTCCATGTGAGTGGGGGTCTCTGGTTGTGGTCTATTTCCCCCTCTTCCAGCTACAGCCCCTCTCCCAATGTTCTGAGGGGAGGGGTTTCCCATTTCCCAGGAGTAGCTTTTAGAGGGCAGTAGAGGCTTCAGTAGAAAGGAGTTAGTTGAAGACCTCATTGATTAAGTGAAACTCCACTTGAAATTCTTTGGAACCCACCCAAAATAAAGATGTAACATTTCTAAAAATTTTGAAGCAATAGGGAGAGAAATGGGGTTTTCCCCTATATAAAAAATCTGGACACACACGACTAAAACAGATAAACAAATATAAAGCCAACAGTCGTGATAGTCTGACCCGCAATCAACAGTCATAAGACTTATAAGGAATGCTGTACATGTATTGTGCTCTGAAGCATTACAATATGATACACAACTTAATAGAATTTATAAACCAAGGTACAACGTCGTCTCCGGATTATTTACCAACGTTTCAAAAAATTAATCTTCTTCAGGAGATATTATAGAGGTGCCGAAGCTTTCATTTTCATAAAAGTTAGACAACAAGTCTTAAGCATACAATTCAGATAGGACGCTGATCTCAATTAACACGCAGTGTTTTTTCTGGATCCTGGTAAAATAGTTCATCTGTTCATCTGTATCATAAAGCAAAGTTCTATTAATGACAGAAGCATCCTGATTGTAACTTTCCTTTTTCTACTCCCCCCACCCAGTCCTGATGGTCAACCAACCCTTCTTCCACCTGAGCACGTACAAGAGCTAAACTTACGATCAACAGGCATGCTTAATGACATTCAAAGATTCTTTGCATATCATATGATTGAAACTTATGGCTGTGACTATTCTACAAGTGGACTTTCTTTCGATACCCTTCATTCCAAGCTGAAATCTTTTCTTGAAGTTCGGACGCCTGATGGACCCAGACATGACACCTATGTTCTGTACTACAGTGGCCATACTCATGGCACTGGGGAATGGGCACTAGCAGGTAACTGGCATTTGCAGCTCTCTGTTGCATTTGTATTATCTTCAGTTTAATTATTGCTTTTTGTGAATTCACAGGTACACATATTTTATTCCTTTTTGTTACATAAACAAGAACTAATTCTGGTTTGATTGTGCTAGTGGGGTGTGTAGTAAGGTGCTGAAAATACTTTTTTAGCCCCCCCTTTTTTCTTTTTTTCATATAGAAAGCAGAAGATACATATATCTATATGTATATATACATACATCTTTGTGAATTACTCTCATTTCCTTGGGTCCAAATTCACTCTGGAAAAGCCAAGCATAAGAGAGAAACCTCACACAGGGCTATTTTTGGGCAGGAACGCACAGGAACGGAGTTCCGGCTGGCTCCCAAGTTGGCCACGCCCAGCAGGAACTCATTAGCATAATAGGCCACACCCAACAGCAGGAACTCATTAGGATTGGCTACATTAGGGGTGTTTGGCCTAACATGCAAAGGAGTTCCTGCTACAAAAAAAGGCCCTGGGTTTTGACAACAAACAAGGTAGACAGAATAACAAGCAAAATGTGGGTGTAGCTGGATGACCACACTTCTGGTAACATGGGGGTGCGGCCTAATGTGCTAATGAGCTGTGCTGTCAGGGGTGTGGCCCAATATGCTAATGAGTTCCTGCTGTTGGGTGTGGCCTGTTATGCTAATGAGTTCCCTGCTGGGCTTTTTCTACAAAAAAAGCCCTGACCTCACATATGTGATATTCAAAGAACTGCTATTTTTCATAAAGCATTGAATACTAATACTTTAAAAGCCTAGACTGTGAAGGGTTAATTCTTCACAGAGCCAGAGAGTCTTCAGTGACAGGCTGTTCCAAGACATCTGATTGGTTAGCATCATCTGAGCGGAAAAAGACATATGAACTGGATGCTGAGGAGAGATGCAGTCTGATTTCAGCCCTAGCTGAGAAGAGTCGAGTACTGACAGTTTAGGATTTCAGCCTTAGCTGAGAGCAGTAACACAGATGGAGAACTGGGGGAAAGTTGGCAAGGAAGTTTGGGAAGTAGCGGAAGATTGAAGCGGGCCAAGGAAAGGGGACAGATTTTCTAGAGATAGAAGAAAATTCCCTACCCAGACAAACAGGGAGTTAGCTCTGAAGAGTGCAGATCCCTGGTCTGGTGTGGTTAGAAACTCCTTTAGAGACCTTAAGAGTCAGTTAAAATCTAAAGACAAGTACTGGTGTTTCAAGAGAAGGGGTTTGGGTACTGGAAAGAGTATACCAGCCTTCTGGAAGCCAAAGGAGTCAGAGAATACTCAAAGAAAATGTACTAGAGTGTTTGGGAAAACACTGGAACAAAAATCTCTCAACATAAAGATTTAAGTAACTGTGAATAGATTAAGGAACTCTCCTGAAACTTAAGAATGAAAGTCTGTGCATGTACTGGTTTTACCTCAGAGTTATCTGTGTTGAGTTACCTCAGAAATTTCAACCTCAGATTTCACTTGACCTTTCCCCTCTACATTGGATAAAATATTTTGTTAATTTTGAATTTCAATGTGTCTCGAGTGCCATTTAAGTTGTTTAAGTTAAAGCGGGCTCCTGGTCATTCCCTCAGGTTCCTGGGCTGAGCCAGCAGCCCAAATATCGAACTGTGACAGGGTGGGATGGCCAGAGTTCTTCAGCAAAGAAGAAAAGCTAGGGCAGCTCAGTCAGTAAAGGGAAAGAAAAACGGAGGGAAAATTTTACCTTTGAGGGAGGGAAATGGATGGGGCCATCATATTTGGTGTTAGCAGTGGGATACAAAAATAAAACCCACAACTAGTTTGTCCCACCATAAAGACAAACTATTATAAGAAAATATTTCATGAAGTTGTGAGGAATTACCACAGAATTTCTGTCAGAAATCGCACCGGCACATACCGTGTTTCCCCTAAAATAAGACACTGTCTTATATTTATTTTTTCTCAAGAAGACACTAGGGCTTATACCACAAATGCATAGAAATCCTGCTAGGGCTTATTTTTGGGGTAGGTCTTATTTTCAGGGAAACAGGGTAGACGTTAGAGCAGAGGTGTCAAACTCATCTGTTACAAGGGCTGGATCGGACATAAATGTCACTTTGTTGGGCCGGGCCATGCATGCTATAAAATGTAACACGAGGTACCAGAGATATAAACTTTGAAAAGATGATTTCAGATGGTGAATGGCAGTAGCAGGCTTGATTGGATTAGGTGTGATATGCAGAGGGGAAGTAGGTGTGGAGATGTCAGCATTGGTAATGAGACAGGAAACCTAGGTCTCAATTCCATCCAGGAGGATTCCGTCCACGAGGATGCAAACCATAAATGGACATATGTCTGATATTAGAAACCACAACATTCAGTTGCTGACCTAAGAGTAGCAGTGCTCTTACAGAGGAATTTCAAAGGAAGATTAGAAAGAGACAGCTGAATTGCAACTGATAATAAAGGTCAAGACAATGCATCCTCCTGGACTGAATTGAGAGCTAGTTTTCCTGTCTCATTAACAATGAGTGCTATTATTATTTGGTATCTGAAATCACTCCGCTCTCCAAGATATAAGGACCAATCCAAGTGTTGTAATTCCTAATCAGGGTCTTTTTGAAAGAAAATAAATCCAGATAGGAACAGAGAAATCCAATTATTTAAAAAACACAACTTTTTAGAATAAGCCAAAATAATTTCCTCAATGTACATTGTGCTTGTCAGAAGAATCCATTCATCCACCCTCCCTCTCTCCCTCCAAAGAAGTGTACTCGCACACAGAAGCTTATACCTGGAATAAAACATTGTTGGTCTTAAAGCTGGGACTCCAATTTCCCCCCCTCTCTCTTTCTTCCTCCTCCCCCCCCCCAAAAAAAGAGGAGGAGCAGCCCCGGAGAAGAAAGCAGAAGCTATGTATGAGGAAGAGGGAGGGGCAGGCAGACAGGCTTGTCTTCTTTGTATCTCTCTGGCACAAAGCCACGAGGCTCTCTATCTCTCTGTGTGTAAGAAAGAGAGAGAGCTGCGGGAGACAAGAGGCAGGAAGCAAAGAGCCACTGAGAGAGCAAGCTAAAGTGTGGCTGCAGGACCAGTCCCGGGAAAGGAAGCAGGAGAATGAAGTTGCTCAGGGGCCAGTTTTGAGCCCTGTGTGGGCTGGATCCTACCCATGGGCTGCATTTTTTACACCCCTGCCTTAGAGAGGGACATGGGGACAGTCAGGGAGAGGATATATCTGCTGGGGAGAATCCTAGTTAGGAGGTAAAAATTATGAGAATGAAAAAAGAACTGGCAAGAATAGAAGCAGATAAGGAGAAAGAATTAACCCTTCACAGTCCTTTTATCTGTTCACACAGCATGTCTAGGCTTTTAAAAGTGCAGACCGTCACAACCAACAAGCAATAAAAGCTGTTCTATTTTGTCATTGCTGATTTAAAATACTGTGTGAAAAGACATTCTCAGATTCAAAGTGGTTTTATTTCAAACATATTGAAAGTGATGACAAAGGAACTGAAGGAGGTTCCATATGGTTGTCCTGTGAGGTTTCCTTCATACTAAGAAGAAATATGGCCAAAGAAGGAATGAGAAGATAGTCACATGTTGCTTTATGATCAGTTTGTTTAGCTTTTGTGGTGGAAATACAGTGTGTAGTTTGGTCCTGGTTATGAAATATACCCAAAATGCACAACCAAAGAGCATCTCATAACATAAATCTATGTTTATTCAACTGCGAGGTTTGCGACAAACTGAACACTGATTCATTAATGGCTTGGATCCAAACAGAGGTTACTGGTTTCCTCTCCGCTTCCCCTGCTGCTGATCCTTGCACAGCATCAGTCAGCTTTCCAGGGAGAGCTTATTGGAACTGTCTGTTTAATCACCAACTCTGTTAAGTTGTGGGTGTGTGCAGATGTCTCATGCTGTCCATGATTTTGCCTTTACTAAAATAATTCTAAGTGAAACAGTTGAGCTCCAAAATTTTCTGAGTTGACTTGGCAGCCTTCTTGTTTCTGGAGTTGGAAGAGTGTATATAGTACTCTACTTTTGCTAACCCCTGAGCCTTAATATTTTGGAAGAATTATTTTAAGCGCAGTCGTGAAATCTGAGAGTTGGTTCAAACTCTTAAATGCCAAAGGGAAACAAAAAGGTAATTTGCAATTATTTGTGTTTTGTTACAAGTAAAACACTAAAATCCTTCTGTTGATATAAGTCTCCAAAACACTGGTTTTCACTAGCATCTCTTGGATCATTTAACAAAGAAAACACTGTTAGTATGTGTAATGATTTCATGTTTGGGTGTGTGTATTTCTTTAAATGTTTTGTTTGACTGCAGTAATGTAAGAAGAGTGATAGAGAGAAGTGTGATGTGATTGGCTGATGACTGAGAGTGTGGGAGGATAGAGGGGGGATTCCAGATTCAGTCTCTCTGCCTTTGAAAAAGGTGATTGAGTGATAGTTCATGCCCTGTCTTCCATAGTTAAATACAGAGCCTCAGTCCAACAAGTGAAGCACCCTTTCATGTGGGGATAACCTGGTCTGAAATGCAATTTGAACATTGAGAGCATTGTGGAAATGTAGTGCAAATATCTAATCCTTAAACAGAATGGGTCCCTAGTCAAGTTCCCAAAACATTTTCCATTGGCCTGGATATAACTTCATTGCCAAAAAGTTATTCACATAAAATGTAGCTACTGTTGTGTAATAATCATGCCTTCCGTTTCCCTTCAGGTGGCGATGCATTACGGCTGGATACACTTTTAGAATGGTGGAGAGAGAAGAATGGCTCTTTTTGTTCACGGCTTATTATAGTCTTAGACTGTGAGAATTCTCAGCCTTGGGTTAAAGAAGTAAGAAAAGTCAATGACCAGTATATTGCAGTACAAGGAGCAGAGCTGTCCAAAGTGGTGGACATTGATGAAGCAGACCCTCCACGCCTTGGCGACTTCACTAGAGAATGGGTGGAATACAATTGTAACCCTGACAATGACATCATTTGGTTTGAAAAGGGCCGAACTGTCAAAGCCATGTATGGAGTGTCAAAACGATGGAGTGACTATACTTTACACTTGCCAACAGAAAGTGATGTTGCCAAACACTGGATGATGTATTTTCCCCGTGTCACCTATCCTCTAATTCATCTGGCAAACTGGTTCTGTGGTCTTAACCTTTTTTGGATCTGCAAGGCTTGTTTTAGGTGTTTGAAAAGGTTAAAAATGAGTTGGTTCCTTCCTACAGTATTGGACACAGGACAGGGCTTCAAACTTGTCAGATCTTAAATTAAGCACCAAAGATGAGCAGGAGCTCTTAACATTTTAACATATGACTGACTTGTAATAGTTTATGCTGTTGAAGGAATTTTGCTGCTTTTCATAGCAGCATCTCTTTTGTTCATTACCTTGAACAATAGTATATGCAAAGGGTTAAATTCCATTAGGAAACCAAGAACAGCATTGGCATTAGGTGAATTGTGTTCCTGTGTTTGATTTGAATTCTGTAAAAGCCATTAAGTATGACCATGTTTCAGAGATGAGTTTGTATGTTCGTATACATTAGAGCTGACTGAGGGCTAAATAGGCAAATTCCTTTTTTCTCCCTTCTTTGTGTTATGAACTTTTTATGTGGCAGGTGTATCCCATGCAAAAATAATTTCTACTTCTGGATCACTCTGGTATTACCATACTTTGCACTGATGGGTTTCAAGGACCCATAAATCAAAACACAGTAGCTAAGAATAATGGCAGATATATATCATCAAGGTATTAGCACTCCAGTTTCGTTGTTTTAAGGGAATGGAAATATCACAGTGCTTATTGGAACTTCCATGTGCATGTGTTTTTAACTACAACTTTATGACCCTAATCCTAGATGTACATACTGGGGAGTCAGTGCTATTAGCAGAATTTATTTCATGGTAGGTGTAATTAGGACTGCAACTACAGTGAGTTAGTTCTGGAAACGATAGCCAATTCCTGATCACCTGTAGCAGTATCAGAGTACCCAATGGTCCAACTTTGGTAGACGAACTATTGAATTTGGTGTTGTGAAAGGTGACTGGCTCTCAAATTCCTGTTGTCTTGACTTGCTGTCATGGAGTGATAGCAATGTGCTGAACTGTATTTCAATTCCAAAAGAAAAACAAGTTATCTTTATTTGTGTGTACTGAGTCATTAGAAAGGGGTATGCCTTGGAAATGCCTTCTGAGGCTTCAGAATCTTACCTTATAATCTACTTAATTACAAAGCTTGTGGGGGGGAAATGTCTAAAGTACTGGCTGAGAAACAAAGGTTTCAGTGAGACTGTAACTGCTTTTTGAACATTCCTAGGGGTTGAATTTTTAACTAGGCAAAGGTCTATTTATACAAAAAATGTTCACATGTCACTGGTGTTAGGACATTGCTTGAAGTGCTCTTGATCTAAAATCATTGTTAATTAGAGTCCCGTAACTTGATTTCCTTTATTATGGAAGTCAAATTGGCAAGTTAGTCTTTTTCTCTCCTCTCCTTGCAAATTCTTTGAGAGTATTGCATGATGAAAGTGCACGGCAGTTAAGGGGATAATTTATAATATTCATAATTTTTGTTTCAACTTTTTAAATAAAAATTTGTTTTCTAATTATTTTCATATTTCAGCTTGAACGTTTTTGTCAGTCTTTGTAAAATATGTATTCAACTGTTTGGATATGTTACTTGTTCTCACTGCATTAAATTACCTAATAGAATGTTTGTTTTAAAAGAGCTTCTAAAAATAATGCTGAAGCTGAAACCTGGACTAAGATAACCTTACTAACCAAGAAGCCCTTCTCTCCAGTAGATCATGGCTTCTACAGATTCAAGAACTGATGGTGGCTTCCCCTTTCTTTCTCTTGCTTCCCAACCTGTTCCTTAGAGCAGTACTGCTCTTCCAGGATGTATGGTCTTGAAATATCTGTTTACACACAAAAATAATCAGAGGGGCACATGAAATCAACTGCGGGTTGTGGAATGTGTAACAATCATAAATTGCACCCTTCTTGATAATGAATAAATTGTACTAGAAGTCTGACCACAAGTTGTACTTGAGATAAAAATCAAAATGTGTAGTTGCACCTTGATTGACAAGCACCAGAATTTGAACCAACGCCATTAATGTAATAGCTCTCACCAGTATGTTATCAGCAGTCATGTGGACCACCCTGAAAAGGTTACTTTGTGTTCTGTTGTATGTTCATTATTGTTGCATTCACTGTATAGAAAGCTGAAAACATTGATGAAATTCTGGTGTAGTTTCAGCCAGCCTGTTTGTCCAAATTGTTATCTTTAAGAACATAAAAATGCTGCAGAAAAACCCTAAGCAGATTAGAAGCAATCTTCTGATGTTCATGCAATATCACTTCAGAATGAAGTGTTCTGTGCAGAGATTATCTTGATTCTTTATATTTCATTTAGCCTCTTCTGTACTCATTTTGCTTTAATGTGCTAATGCCGATGTCTCACAATAGCTTACATTTAATTGGAATGCAGATTGATAAAGAGTTCCCTGCAAAAGAGGCAAGCCATTTCCTTTCTGTTGCAATTGCGCTTTCATATGTTCTCATTTCTTTAGCTGTGTATAGAAGCCCTTTCTCAGCCTTGAAAAGTGGATCTTTTTGTAACTCTCATTGTGCTTCCTTTGGGGTATAAAGTGCTAAACTGACTGACACTGAGCTCAGCTTGAGTATTTAAAGGGTTTATTGCCTGTGTTGAATGATGCTACACTAAAAAATTTCCTTGTTATCATTCAAGCTTTTTTATTGAATTTATTGTATAAAGGGATTATTTAAATATATATGCCTTTCCTGTATGATGATTGTTAAACTTTGGTTTCTGTGGCTGAGTTCTGCATTCACTCATTTCTTATGGTATTCAGTTTTTAAGCACATATTTTTAACCTATTCAATATAAAATCATAGTAAGCAGTCTGGAATGTTTCATAAAATGGGTGACCTGACCATTAATTTCATTTTGCTCTCAGGAACTGGGCTACTTATAATCAGGAGATTTTGTACACCTTTTTTAACCCAGGTAAAAGTGAAAAGAAGATAGCGCCAATGAAATCAACAGAACCCAATATCCCTGGAAAATTTGAAAAGCTCTTGATATGTTGATTGGGGTTTACATAATGACATCTTGGAGAAATACCATCAGCCTCCTGCTGTTGCCTGTGGGTTGGATCTGGATGAGAATATCCACTAACGGAAACTGTATAGCAGAACAGAACTTCTCTGTCTCCTCCCCACCCACATAGCCCACTCATCTGCCCTAAAATGTTGTTTGGAGGCAAATGGAACCTCAAGACCCACATGAGGGGTGAATCAAAGGTTTGCAGCAAAAGGCAGAGACTGGTTAAATCATTCACCTTGTGTACATATGCACACACATCCATCCCAGTAGTGGAAAATTTAGTTGAGATCCAGCCCTAATCTGTCCTGACACAGTGGGAGTAATGTCATGGATATAGCCACCATAGAAAAGTCTCCTGCTTCAAGTCTTAAAAGCAAAATAAACTGGATTTGGTAGGGGGGGAAAGATATAGAAATGTATCCTTTTCTCTACATCTGTTTGATAGCTTTATTAGAATGTTTTTCTACAGTTTGTTTTGATCTAATATTAAAAGTAATCCAGCATTTCTTGAATAATTTCTTCCAGAAATTGCAGCTTTCTGTTAATATCTTATGTGTGCACAATTTTCCTTTTGGACCATTTTGTTTTAGCCACTTTGCTTAGATGGGACAATTGATCAACATTTTGGTACCTTAAAGTGATATGAAGAGCAATCCTGAACTACTCAAAGTCCCATTTTATTCAGTGGGGCTTACTCCCAGGAAAGGGTTCTTAGAATTTCAGCCTGTGTGGACTGTTTATTGCCAGTGTGATTTCCACTCAGATATATACTGAGTTCCAACAAAATTCTTATACTCCTTCTAACTGGGTGTTTATCAGCTTCCCCCAAATGACATCTTTATGTAAGCTAAATATTTTATACTTCCAGGCCTAATCTTTTCTGAGGTGATCATTGTATATGGAACAGATTTTAACTTTGGGAGTGAGAAAAAATGTATAAAATATGTAGTGAGAGTTAATGTAGGACAGTTCTTGTGATATACTCCAAACCACCTTTATTTCTCCAACTTTCATACTTGCATCCTTATATAATGCCTTGCTAGAATTGCCAGAGCATAAACAGCATGCTGCTGCATCAAGAAATGACATCGAAAAACTTAATTGGGAAAATGTTTCCATTTGAAGTAATAAGCCAGCTGTTGATTAGCAACCTAATTTTCCTGCAAACATTAGTAAAATTATGCAATGCAAAGTTTGTTCAGGCATTACCATATTCACTAGATGGAAAATGAGTAGAATTAAGCATGACTAGTCCAACACAAGAAAAGTTGAAGTTGTGTCTTTTTGTGTAAGCCGCAGGAGTGGTCACATCTCTTGAGAGGAAGAAAGCAACTGTGATCTATTCATGCAGAGATGCACCCAGGTGGCCACCTCTGAGGGCAGGTAATGCTACTGTATTTGTATAGCAAGAATTACTGACTGACCATGTCAGCCTGAACTGTCCTCACAGAAACTGATCAGAAAGCTGAAGCAGGCGAAGGGACCTTGGGCATCATTTGCAGTGGATGGGGACTCTGGCCTCCCAGGACCCATTTTTAATGAGTTGTGTTTTATTCTGTGACACCCAATTTGGGAATGACTGCCCCAATACATATTTTTTCTAAGGCATGTGAAAATTACGGCCTCTATATTAAAACCTAATTATGTCCTAATCAAGTATCTCTGAGTTGTAACTGAATATAAACTTCATTTTGCCCACAAGAAAGTGGAGGTTTCAAATCTCCATACAGTTCCCAGTACCTCGGTGGGGGCCGGGGAACCCCCGCTTTTGCAGGCTCTTGCCCGCCACTGGGCAGCTGGCTGGCAGGGGAAAATCCTGCCCCCAACTGACCTTCCTAAGCGACTTCTTGTAAAACTGGAAGTGCAGCCCCTGACATGGTGCTGTCAAACAAAAGTGACATCATCACGTGAGGGGGATGCTCTGGTTTTGGGGCGAAACTGTTTCAAAGCCAAATTTACCATATAGTTTTGCCTAAAAACTGGAGCGTTGCACCCAACATGATGATGTCACTTCCGGTGACATCCTGTCAGGGCCTGTACTTCCAGTTTTACCAGAAGTCACCTGACATCACTTCTGGTCTCCTGGAAGGATGTTGGGAGACCCCCGCTGGCCAGGTAGGTGGACCTGGCAACCCTAAGTCTCCAATGTGTAAGTCCACAGACACAAAAATCACCCCAACGGCCTTCCTATGCACTCTCAGTTGTTTAAATTGGGATAGTGGCAAATAACCAAATATATACTTACTGAGTCAGTGATTGAGCATCATGCCTTTCCTTTTATTGATGCTGACATAAGTCATCCAGACCTGGGTATTGGAAACTAATTAGGGTCCACCCTGGTTAGTATTTGAATTGTAGACTACCAATGAAGTCAGAGTCACTATGAAGAGGCAGGCAACAGCAAACCACCACCTCTGCTCATCTCTTGCCTTGAAAAACCTACAGGGTCATCATAAATTGATGGCTATCTGATAGCACTTCTTACCACCAGACTTAAGTGATTCTTCTAAGGTCTAAAGGACATTACAAGCCTTTGACTCCATCTTTACAGTGCATATTGCAGCAAAAAAAACAGAAATAAAGCTTGATATGGGATCGCTGCCTTGACGTGGCGAGGGGGCTTGCATGGTTCGATGAGGCTGCAGGCTATGCTGTGAAGGGCCTCCCAGGATGGACAGGCCACAGCAGAGAACTCAGACAAAATGTGATCCACTGGAGAAGGAAATGGCAACCCACTCCAGTATCTGCCAAGAACACCCCATGGACAGTAACAAAAGGCTAAAAGATATGATGCCAGAAGATGAACCTCTCAGGTTAGAAGGTGTCCAATATACTACTGGGGAAGAGCAGAGGGCAAGTACAAGTAACCTCAGAAAGAATGAAGCGGCTGGATCAAAGTTGAAAGGATGC